ATAAAAAAGGCACGAAATAAACAGGAGGAAAGTTCAGGTGCACTTTTGCTTTTTAAGCTCCATGCCAAGCCATAAACTTCCAAGACAGAGACAGGAAAGGCGAAACTGAAAACACAAAAATAGATTCAAAAACACTATTTTCAAGTTTTCCCTTCTGTTTCATCTTTTTTCTTCTTCCAAACCAAGGTCTGTTCAGCGAGGTTGTGTCTCCAGATCTCCTTGGTCCAGTCTCTTCTGTATCACTGATGCTCAGAATGTTCTGTGGCAGCCAGAAGCTAATCTGATTACCAACCCAAAGGGTTCCTGTGTAATGCTGCCTGTTACAGGCTTGATGGCAAAGAGGTGAAGAAATTTCCAGGGGTTGTTTTAATTGATTAGCAGCAGAACAGCAGCAAAATTCATTTCTTTTGAGTGAACAGATCCTCCAAAGGCTATTTTGCAATGCACCTTGGGGCTTCTGTTTAAGTCAGACCCAATCTATGATTGGGTCAAAGATTTTGATTCCTGGTTGTTTTTCAAAATTTGTCCTTGTTCACATGAGGCCCTTATGCTTTGATCTTTTCCTTCCACACATTTCCCCACCACCCCCTCAACACACACTCTCCTGGGGACACTCAGCTGGCGTTCTTTGCAAATTTCAGACCCAGCTCAACTATATTAAAATTGTGCGCTAGGTTTTGACGTAGGTGCCTCACGATTTGAGCAGAGTTTGCTATTTTGAGATTTTAAGTGTACAAATATCAGTTGCTATATAAAAATTCAACGCTTTAAGGATTTACACCGCCACACAGTATATTTTTTAAGGTTGCCTTAAAACATGTTAAAAATCACTCCTTCCCACACTTTGAAAGTACTCAGAAATATCTTCATTGTCTCCCTGCAGGCACAAAGCTACAGTTGTTTCTTAGATCTGTCCCTCAGTGTCAACCTTTATGCCCGTGCAGAATCCATGCCTAAAAATAGTTTATCAAAGCAACGCCTCTACCGCCAAGGTCTCCTGCACCTGAGCCTGCTAAGCATCAATTCTATTTTGAAGTCAGTCTTTTTATTTTCAGTAATTTATGGAAAGAATGTAGTCATTCACTTCCGTAATAATAGCAACCCTTTCTGAGTAACAGTTCTCGAGCATTCACTCTATGTCCGAGGCCATCTAAATACCTGATGTGTGTTAACCCGTTGAGCTTTCCAACGCTTATATGAGATGAGTGTTCTTGTTATTCCCATTTTAAAATTCTGAGCCTGCGACACAGAGGAGTTAAAACCCTTGTGCATCAGGAAGTTCTTCTGAGCCACCCAAATCCATGTGCAGCGGCATCAGTTCTTCACCCGTAGTCAGCCCTCACAGGTGATGGGAGAAAGCTGATCACCATCTTTCCTTTTTAAGATTGCAAGGGTTTCAATGTTTAAAACACAGGAGGCCAGCCCCATCACCTTGACCTCCTCAGTTTCAGGAGATCTAAGGTGAGCCTTTTCCTATTTAGTTTTGGAACTGACTTTGGCAGGCTCACTGAAACTTGACCACCCATGCGACAAGGCCCCTGGGATGCTTAAACTGTGGGGTCTGGATGTGGCTATTCCCCAATCCTGCGGATGTGGACTCAGAAAAGAGAAGATGTCAACAGTTCTCCTAAAGCAACTCAGGGCCATGTCGCCCTTGACTCTACGCTTTTTGCCGGTTTGCTTTTCTTTTCCTCTTATTTATAGATGTCTTCCAATGCCAGGCGTTGTGATAAGCCCCTTACACACATTTTCTTACTTAAGCCTTGCATTTAACTCATGAGCCAATACCATTGGAATCCCTGTTCAACAGATGGGAAAACTGAAGCTCAGAAATAGTCAGGAACTGAGCGAAACTCACCCAGCAGAGTCAGTGAAGGAGGCAGGGCTTATCCCAGATCTACCTGCCTCTAAATCACATCCATTTAACCACAACACTGTGCTGTCCCCAACACACACACCCTGTGTGGTTTCTCCCCAGCTCGTGGCTTCAGGCTGAACAGGTCCCAAAGGTGCCATGCCTTCCTACCCCAAGGCACAGAGGTCACTTCGAGAACCACAGGTTCTGTGCTGGCTTCTGCCTCAGGGACCTGATGCTCACTCTTGTCCTGTTAGCCTCATCCTCACAGCTTTCCTCAAAAGGTGCCCTATGGGGACCCCAGGGGTGTCCATTGGCCTGGAAAGAGCACGCCTTGCTGTGTCAGGCTCTGCCCCACGACCCTCAAGGAGCACACGTGTGTGCTGAATTCTGAAGGTAGGCCTTCAACTGCTGCTTTTCTAGAAACTAATCTTTAAGGGAAAATCCTTTTAGGCTATGGAGCAGCCATTGTCAGCTCTCAGCCTGCAGGCTGGTAATCAGGTCAAGCTAATTGGGACAAAGGTTGAATTGAAGAAGGTGAAGAAGTGGGTGGAGAAGATAGCTCCCCAGCCAGCCTTTGCAGCTTTGCCTTGCTGCCCCTAGGGCTAAACTCCAAGAGAGAACAAATAAGGCCAATCCCTCCCACCTTTCAGTAGCGTAAAAAATCCAAGTGCTGCCGCGGTGGAAAAGTGGTAGCACACGATCTAGAAAACTCTCCCTGACCTGCGAAAATGTTTGAGAACCTACGAAATCCCAATTCTAGAATCATTTCCTACTCTATTCTCCCAGGTCTCCTTTAGAGAATTTGGGGAAACCAGCCCATGACGGACAGTGGCCAACAGTGTTCCGAAAGACGTTTCCCGGCAGAGAGAGTGGCCGAACCCTCCCATGCTTTTAGGTCCCTTTTGTGATCATTTCTCTCTGGTATACATCTAAGCTCTGAAAATAATCTTGTAACCACAAACAATGTGCAGTTAGCTGGTTTCTATCAAATACTTTCTCTGCCATGATTCATGACTTTGGGGCATTACTTGGATAGGGTTATTTCAGGTTTTATTTCCACAGGCTTATTTGTATCCTCTTCTAAATGCTGTCTTGCTTTGTTACTATTTTAAATATAATGTTAAAATAGCAATTATTGATCATGTTTATTTCATAGAGCTGCAGAATGCTCTAAGTTCAAAGACTGACCCTGAGACCACAGAACAGTTTTATTAGTAGAAGCATTATCTTCTATAAATGTTTCAGAACCTCCTGTTTCCTCTTCTGGGCTTTTCCAGCAGATGATTTGAGGACTTCTTGGAGTTGCCTTCCAGAAGAAGTGCCTCTCTTTAGGCTTAAGGCTGTAGAGTACTGAGAACCCTGCTTCATTATCTGTCTAACTGGTTCCCAAATAAGACTAGGTTTGGCAGCCAGGAAAGTGTCTCGTATCGATGCTGCCCGGGCAGGCTCCAGACAGTCACAGCCCCATGCCTACCTCCTCCATCCTTGAATTTCTTCTATTTCTCTCCTGTCTCTTTCCTTTGTTATTCACTCTTACCTCCTCCTTCTCCTAATCTCTAAGCTTTCTTTCTTTTCCCTTTTTCTTACCAGAGTTTCCTTTGGAGGTTAAATAGAAACAGCCAAATTCAAAATACCTCCCAGCATGGTGAACCTAATGCTGACCTTCACCCTCCCTCCAGGATGGACACCGTGCCCATCACCTCATCCTTCCCTGCTCATTCCTTATGAAGCCCAAGCCACATGCTGATCTCCCTTTCTCCGTGCAGTGTTTCCCTTCCTACTTCCTTTGAGAGTGTACCCTATGGTGCACGTTCATTGCCTGGACTAAGGCACTGTCATCCTAGAGGCTGCCTTTGTGGTAGCAAGGTGTCTAGGTTTACGACGATTGGAGCTTGTGAGCAGAAAGGGCTCTGTCCTGTGTCACCTTCACCATTGGCATCAACTGGTCCCACTCTAGTTTACAGCTTCTGTCACTCCCAACCAGTCGCACAAGTCACCACCATGAGCACACCCCATGATTTCCATCCACAAGGAGGGAAGAGTAAGTGGATGCCAACCCGCCATGTCCTGTCCTGGGAGAAGAGACTCTCCAAGAGAAACATTTTGGGTTTTGATTTGGTTTGGTTTGGTTTGGGTTTAACTAGAAAAGTAGAATGAGATCCCCTGTTCATACGCTGCTGGAGAACCCAGCCAACAACAAAGGCCTAGTGGGAACATGGTGGGGGTGTGGTGTTTTGAGGGACTCTTCATATCTGAATCCAGGCAATAATCAGTCAGTTGAAAATGAGGCTCCTTTGTAATTTGAATGTTACCAGGGGAAAAAAAGTGAAGGATTAAAGGAGAAAGAAAAATGTACTATGGTTCACTAATCTCTACACTTTTGCATGCTTTTTTTCTGTGCTTGTTGCATGCATTTACCCATTAATTATGTCAATAATGGAGATGAAATGAAGCGTTATACTTGTGGTACAGCTGTTTTAAATGATTACTTTGAGAATGGTATTTTTTCCAGCACCTTTCCCTAGGCATCTCATCACTGACAGACCTCACTTGCTGTGCTCAGTTGATCATTCTTTGTCCTAAATCCCCAAATGGAATCAGTTGCCTCCCTGATGCTTTCATTGCAGCTGACTCAGCTAATTCGGAAAGCTGTGCTGCATGCTCCCAACTCGTTTAGAAATTGCAGTGTGGATTAAAATAAATGTTTGAAAACCCAAGTCAAATCAAGGGACACCGGGGCTTGGCTTTCCATTGTCAAAAGCCAATTCTGGGATGAGCATGAGAGAGACAGAGCAGCTCTGTTTCTCTGGACCTGTTTTGGATCTCAGCAGTAGGGGAAGTTTTAGTGATGATTGATAATTGGGAGGGAGGGAAGAGGTCCAAGTTCAACCTTTCATCTGCCGTCCGGCGGTTTGAGATTCTCAGTAGAGAACTGGGCTGGAGAATCCCCAAAGGTAAGGAAGTAGCCTTCATGCAGGTCATAGGGCATTTGGGTTGGACAGAAAGGAGCGGTCACTGCTATTGTGCAGCATAACTCAGGGAGCCACGTGCCTGCTTTGCCGTGCTTCACTGTTTGCCATGAGGCCCTCTCTTTATCTTCCTCCTCATCCTCTCTCCTTTCTACCATTTTCTCTTGCTTCAGGGAGGTTCAGAGAAAAGGCTTCAATTCTCCACAAGATCGCCAAGAAGAAATGCCAGGTGGATGAGAACGAGAGGCAGAATGGGGCTGCCAATCACGTGGGTGAGTGCAGAGAGACTTCATCCCACGCTTTGCCTGGAGTGCGTGGAGGGGAGCAGAGAGGCAGGACCCAGCGTGGGCACCCTTGACTCACGGCAGACACAGACCCTGCAGTCAGCCTTTTCCTGGGTGTTAGGAAGAGACCATTTCCCCTGGTGGGTAGAGGGCATGAATGGACACAGTATGTCACCTACTCGAGGGAAATTCCAAGAAGAGTGAAATGATTCTGTGAGGAACCTGAAATAAAACCAGCTCCTAACCAGGCATCTCCCTTGAAGAGTAGAAAATCATTTCATATCAGGGGTTCCACATAAAGAAGACACACACACACACACACATATACACACACACACACATTTGTCATTTAACATTTAACAAAAGGTGAGAGTACCCTTCTGAAATTCTTGCTGGTAACCAGATTTTATACCTATGACATTGCCTACACCACACCCACTAAATTACCAGATGGTTCACTTCGTCACTCCTAAACTGAGCTGCAGGTTCCCTGCGAGATGACACTGCCTCTCCTTTCCTAAGAACTCAGCAGTACTAGCCCCAGTCTCTTTTGGCTGACTTTTTATGAGCTCCTGTGTGACCAGATTATGACATTCAGGCATCTTATTTTAACTTGGAACGTGATGTTCCCCCTCTCCTGTCTGCAACTGTAATATATAGCTGACTAATTATAAATTCAAACTAAATTTAACCTAATCTGGATCTATGCTATAAACGATGCTATTGCCCAAGAAACTAAAATTATCTGCAGACAAAATTCAACAGTGTTGCACTCAAAATACGTGACATTCTTTAGAAGAGTTTCTGCCTCTCCTGTTATCCTGACTTCTAGCTCAGGGAAAATCTTTGGCCAAGAAACAGTCAAGATTCTGTTGGGTATGAAAAGAAAAACTTGAAGGAAATAAGCTAAAATGTTATATATTCTGCCTGGGAGGTTGTTTCTTCTCATCTGTTCATGTCTGTTTTGGACATCTTGACTACACCTTGGGACCCAGTGTTTCATGTTGCTAGGGTCAAGTTTGGCCACTGCAGGCTGATCCTAAAGTTGTATCACTTCAGCCAATAGACACCCAAAACACAGTTTTAATATTTCCCAAGGTACTTAGTATTTTTTAGTTTAACTGAAACAAGCATACTAGGATAAACTGGCGTAGCCACGCACGACAGAACATCATATACATAACCCTGTCACTATTAAAAACATGAAAAGATAAATTTGAGTTTGTATGGCTTTCCATATTTGAATATATTTATGCTTCTGTATTCCACAACTAAATACATAAATAAACATAAATGTTTCCCTGTGATTTCCAAAATTTGACCACTTCAAACCCAACAATATTTATGTAACTCTCAAATTATTTTCTAATATTTTACCTGTGATAGAAATGTTTAGTCCTTCTGAAGTTGCTAGAAAAAAACATTCTGATCCTCTGTGAGCAGCCTGATACTGCTCATATCTGATACTGAGGAGCATTCTGATACTCCTGGCAACCCTGACACTGAACCACACATTGTTTCCTGAAATCCACAACTTACCCAGCACAGCCAGAGGGCCTAGGAACCTTCTTATTTCCTCCCACTGAAGTCGTAGCAGACCTCGGTGGTGCCCAATCACTGATCACCTGGAGGTGCTCCTCTGAGCCCTGAAAACAAAAGTTCTAGTGCAAGGCAGGTACTGGAGTGAGGCTCAGAATAGTTTATGTTTCTTGCTTTATTGCTCTGTGCCAGACGCTGTGCTGAGGGCTCTACACGCATTTTCTTATTTAGCCTTTGGAGGCGTATGCTCTGATCGTATTGTTGTTGGTGGTGGTCCTAGTAGTGGGGACTAGTGTCATCATCACCTCAATTTCACAGATGAGGAAGCTGAATCTCAGAGAGGTTAACTCCATTGCTATGAGTCCCACAGCATAAGTAGAAGAGCCAGAGTGTGCACCCAGGCCTTCTGAGATGCCCAGTGTCAGAGTCCCAGTGCTTACCCATTACCCTAGAGTCACTTCTCAACTCAGAGGAAGACTTGAACCTGCACTTGCTGAGCCGTGGCTTCACTTGGGCCAAATGATACCTCTCATTCAGGAATGATACAGGCTTTTGCCTCTATTCCTCGCTCAGCTCTCCCTTGCCTTGCCTGCAATAGGAGGCCCAGGTGTGAAATGTGCTAAGTAGCATTCTCCAGGCATTATGAGAAAGCCGGGTTCCCGATCCTGCCCTCCCCATGGCCACCGAGGCACTGGCAGAGTTGTCCCCTCACTGAGCCCGAGAGAATTAGAGGTGGAAGCAGTGGGCCTTAGACGTCAACCAGTTGAACCCCTTCATTTCACTGATAAGGTTCCTGAAACCCAGAGGAAGCAAGGGGACTTGCCTAAGGTGACAGCCCAATAGTGGCAGAGCAAAGCCTAAGACCCAAGTCTCCTGAGGCCCTAGCAAACAAATATTCTTTCCAAAATATAGTACAAAAGAAAGGATCTTGCTATAAAAAAAATCTGAGGGGTGTGGTCCTGGTGTAAACAATAGTGTGTAGATTGGGTATGGTTTTGGTTTTAAAATGTCTGTGTTCATGTTCTTGAATGGCTAGTTGGTAAATTTGCCTAGTCTAGAGAACAGTGGAAGCTGATAAGACACTCAAGTTAAGACATCAAGCCAGAGTGAGGAAGCTAGAGAGCTAGTAAAGAGAGGAGGAGGGCTGAGCAAGCTAAAAGCCATGCAAGAGAATCGTAAAAATCCTTGGCCATTTGGCGCAATCCCAGCCCTGGGCCTTATCACCCCTCAGAGACCACTGTCTTCTCCTTTGACCCAACATTTTATGATGTTCTTCCCAATATGGCTCTTACCCCTATTGACTCCATTTGCTTTCTTTGTGTGTGTCTAAATTACATCACAGAAAAAATCGAGCTCCCAAACAGCACCAGCACAGAAGTTGAAATGACGCCTCCCAGTGATGCTTCGGAACCCGTACAAAACGGAAATCTCTCCCACAGCATTGAAGCTGCAGAAGCCCAGGTATGGCTTTTTCCATTGCTCTTCTGGAAATTGTTCACTGTTCTTATTAATGTCCCAGCATAGCAGCACAGACCCTCGGAGCATTCTCCTCGGAGGCCCCAGCCCCCAGCTGGGCAGACACCAGGCAGAGTCATTCATCCTTGTGTCTATTTCCCAGCACCAGCCTAGGGCCCCACATGCATCGAGCTCTTCATTTATTGAATAAATACACATATTGTCTAAGCCACTGTTTCTCAGAATGAGATTGGATGACTCAAGCATCAATTCTCCTGGCGATAAAAATGCAGATCCCAGGCCATACCCTAGACCTGATGAAACAAAATCTCTGGGGAGCAGCACCCAGGAATCAGCATTTTAACTCACTTCCCAGGTGATTCTTAATAGATGATAAAGTTTAATAGCTGCTGCAGTCTTTAAGTCTTTAATCCTTTCTCTGTGTCTTTAAGGTCAAGGTTAAGTAACAGAGAAACCACAGTCATCATACTTCGGTTAGCCTCCTTTGGCCTTCCCTGTTCCTGCAGTTGAAATTAGTCAATACACTCTGGCCCAGTTCCCCGTTCAATGGTGCAACCAACACACAGCTGTTTGATCTAATAGTTATAATACTTAACATTTACACGCACGATGTGCCACAGATTTGGGGCTAGACACTTTACATATGTTAGCACCTTTAAACCTCACAGCCGAAGGTATAGACATTTAGCGTCTCCATTTTATCGCTAAGGAAGCTAAAAATTAGCAAGATGAAGTAGTTAATCAAGATTACCCAGCTTGTAGGTAGCAGGGCTCAGATTTGATCTTGGGCCTGTCAAAATCCAGCGCCTGTACTAGATCCACCACACAGCACTGCCTCTGGACCACAGTTGCTCAAAAAGGTAGGCAGAACCAGAAAGTAGGGGGTGCTTGTTAGAGTTCTGGATCTCCTCCTCATCAACTGAATCGGAATTTCTAAGGCGTAGAGCCCCCAACGCACAGTTTAATCAGGCACCCTAGGTCAGTGTTTCTCAAACTTTAATGTGCTTATGAATTTCCTGGGAGATCATGTTAAAATTCAGATTCTGATTTGTCAGATCTGGAGTGGAGCCAGAGTCTGCAATTCTCATGAGCCCTCAGGTGATTCTGATGCTGCTCGTCCGTGGCCACACTTTGAGTAGCACTACCCTAGCGTTTGTGACCCACTGCTCTAGACAGAATTTTCCCAGTGAGCTGAAAAGTTATCTAGTGCCCACAAATAGAAGCCAGACTACAGCGAATCTATCTCAGCACTCTCTTCTCCTTTACACCAGGATATACTCTGCAATCAAGGGAGTCTGCACTTCTTAGAACAAAACATGCTAATTGTTGCTTGTTGCCCTTATTCCCTACAGAAACATGCAAGGAAGATTTCTTCGTTTAAAGGAAAGGGTAAAGATGTTGAGCACATTTGCATGTATCTGTTGACTATTTGTATGTCTTCTTTAGAAAAATAACTATTCAGGTCCTTTACCCATTTTTAATCAGGTTATTTGTTTTTTTTTGCTATTGAGTTGTATGGCTTCCTTATATATTTTGGATATATACTCTTTATCAGGTATACAGCTTGCAAATGTTTTCTCCCATTCCATAGGTGGTCTTTGCATTTGTTGATGGTTTTCTTTGCTGTGCTTTTCACAAGGTATACTTGTATCGGATCATCACGTGGTACACCTTAAATGTATATCACTTTTGTCTATTACACCTCAGTAAAGCTGGAAAAAAATAAAGGGAAGGATAAAGAAACAGCAGCTCCTTCTGCCCTTGTCTCCTCTGCCTTCTAGGCTCTCGCCCTCCTGCCCAGAGCCCTGTGGTCCCTTCGCATTAGCTCAAGGGTGAGCAGGCAGAGTGGCTTATGTCCACATGGATAAGCAGCATGTGGCAGCAGGAGGCAGGCCCCGAGGACATCTGGCTGCCCTTGGGGATGGCACAGTCACAGGTGTGCAGAGGGCAGCCTAGTCATCCTGCCTCTCCATCTGGCTGGCAGAGGGACAGCTGTTCTCCCCACGAGGGAACACCTTGCTGCAGGGGAGTGAGAGTCCCGTCTGACCCCTCTCTGAGCAGAGTTATGCCCCCAGGTGTCACACAGGGAAACAGGACAGCTTTGTGCATCACCCTGATACGCAGAGAGCTCAAGGGCGAACAGGCCTTCCAAGAGCCGCCCCACCAGCTGGCTGCAGGACAGCCTGGTGGGGAAGCCCAGATCCACCAGGAGCACATTACCTAGCCTCACTTTAGCACAGTACAGATAATAATAGTACCTGCCTTATTAGGGTTATTAGGAGAGTGACATGAGATAACGTGCATTAAGCACTTAGCACAGAGCTAAACTCTGCTATTTATATTATTATGTGTCCATACTTACCATTTAAACACCATTCAAGGTGTCTCTTCCCTGAAGAAGCTCAATGTAGGTAAAATGAAAATGAAATATAGGGACCGGCCCAGTGGTGTAGTGGTTAAGTTCGTGTGCTCCCCTTTGGCGGCCGGAGTTCGCAGATTCGGATCCCAGGCACAGACCTATGCAC